TATGGCTTGTGGATCATGATCCTTTGACTGCCATATTGACTGGTATGGGTTGGTTAAGGTCTCGAGTGGGGAGTCTATGGACAGAGACAAAGGCATTACTGATCATATCTCTTCCGATTGCGCCAGTGTCGAATAGGACTCGAGCCCTTTTGCCATTGATCAGGATAGTACCTTCCTGAGCGGTGTGTGCTTTGAATGTAGCCGGAGGTCGAACACTGTTGCATTCCACATCGATATATCCGATATGGATTTCTTCATATTCACTGGATTGGGCGTTATTGCTTTCAACATTGTTGGCCGACGCCTCTTGCTTAATTGCCTTTCCTTTTCCTTTCTTTGTAGGACAGTTCTTTAGCCATCGATACCCTAGTTTTTCCACATTCAAAACATTCTCCTTTTTGCCGTCTCGATTCTTTGGAGGATTTTGTTTTCTTCTTGAAAACCCGTGGGGTATCGTCTTCAGAGTTGCTGGAGGCTTTGTGTCGTGGCTGGCTGTTCCTATTAGAGGATGTCTGTGTTTTGTAGGCCTTGGTCTCATGGAGAATGGCGTCCTTTCGTTCTGCTCTTGCAATTATTACTGCAATATCATCGCCATCTTCCTCGAGTGGTTCTACTTCTCGCCGGAGGGTAGGGTGCATGGTGTCGTAGAATCGTCGCTTCAGGATGTATTTGGAGATACTTCCTCTCTCCATTCGGTCCTTATACATTATTTGGTCCGTAGCCACATCGGTGATTCGCTTGACATGCGTTCCGTTAACTTGCTGGAGCTGGTTGAATTTGTTGTATAGGACGTCGTTGGTTATAGAGGATTGGAATCGTCCTTTCAGGTAATCGAGAACTGTAGATCCTCTTAATCTTACATTCCCGCCGAAATCCTTATAGCGTTGGTGGTATGCGTCGGTTGCCTTTCCTTCACAGAATGATCCAATGATAAGTCCGGTTGTAGGGTCTTCCACATCTTTTCCTTGTAAGAGTAGGAAGTGTGAGAGTTCTGTTGCCCATCGTTCAAAGGCTTCAGGTTTGAAGTCTTTCCCTTCCCCTGTGAACTTCGCTGGAAGGTGGAGTTTAAACTTAGAGGGTTCAAATGCTGCGGGTACCTCCTCTTCTTCAGGCCTTGCCCGAGATTTCCCTCCTCCAGAAGGTCCTCCTCCTGTGCTAGCCATATCTGATTCGCTACTAGATTCGGGGTCGTTTGGAGGTTCAAAGGAAGGCTTCTTTGCTGGAGTAGAAGGGAATTCTCCTGGAGGTTGTGTATCTTCCGTGTTTGCAGGATCGCCCGGCTCTTTAGCAGAGCGCCGGGGTTGTTTCTTGCTTGTAAGGTCTTGCCATGGGATTTGCTTCCCACTCCTGGTCGTCAAAGACTCTATCTTGGGTTTGAGATGAAGCTGAATGTGCTGTGATTCTCCCGCTTCTCTCCGCTAGCGTTCTGAGGTGGATATCGATAGGTTGATCAGGCCTAAATCCGGGGACAGGTTCTTAACCACTTGCTGAGGTTAAAAAAATGTAACGTGTTCACAAGGTGCTAATCACGTTATCGGTAATAGATACGATAGTTGGCAGGTGGCCTGCTCTTTCAGAGAGGAGGCGAGAGCTGAGAACTAAAGGAGGCTTCGAGGGTGTACTGGGGAACAAAGAAGTAACCGTTCAACCAAGTATATTGAAATACTGTCTGTCGAAGTCTGCCTTTTCTATCGTAGAAACAGGCGGTCTTTAAATACACAAATCTGTTCATGTCTAGCATGAATGAAACTAATCAAAGGTATCAAGCGATACACTTTGGTAAAACTTCTTAAGTATCAAAGCGATACTTAAAACAAGACATAAAACAAAACCAAGTATCAAGCGATACTTAAAACAAACCAAGTATCAAAGCGATACTTGCAACAAAACATAAAACAAAACCAAGTATCAAGCGATACTTAAAACAAACCAAGTATCAAAGCGATACTTGAAACAAAACATAAAACAAAACCAAGTATCAAGCGATACTTAAAACAAACCAAGTATCAAAGCGATACTTGAAACAAAACATAAAACAAAACCAATAACCGTGTACCCGTACCGGTTACACACTCCATGAAGTCCATTGGCTTCTATGGTAGTCTCCTTCAGAGTTCTAGACTTTTCTGATTACTGTATGATGGATGCAAATGTATTGGTCTCTCATTGAGATCCTTTATTATTCGATACCATATCTTTGTGCGAAAATGTCCTGTTACCTATGGTTAATACCAAAGATGTTACATCTTTGAAGCCTATTAACTCTCTGAGCAGTTGATAGATTCACTCCGTTCTACTTCTCAGACCTAGCCGAAGGTCCCTTCTTATATATTCCGCAAATAGGATCTGGCCGGACAGAAGGTGGTAATGTATATTGTGTTATTCTGACACCTTCTATTCTATAGTATTGTAGTCACAGGATGCAATTGAGAATAATAGGTATGATGACATGTGGGCCCTGTAAGGGGGCTGGAGGTGGGTGTTGGAGACCAGGAATTCTGATTCCAAGTGGGGTTACCCTACTTAGGGTAATTCCTAGGTATCGGATCCCAGTATTTCTAACAAATATCAACATTGGTGGTAACACATCTCCGTTGCCAATTATAACCTTATAACTTGTTACAAGCTCACAGTTACTTATGCTGGTGAAATAAGACTGCCAGTCGGAATCTAACATAACAATCTGTTGATCCTTTCCTGTTCCAATTCTAAATCCTATTTCATCAAAAATATATATATCACTAACTTGAATGCCCTTTTCATTACAGACTCACTGGTATCGCCTAAACCAATCCAATAAATCTTCGAGGTTCTGGGCCTTTTTTTGCTAAAAATCTCATGATTTTTGCTTCCTTATATGGAACTCCGGATGTCGTTCTAGGAAGCGTGTTGTCCAAAGAGGACCAACTTTGAGGGCACGCTCTGGTTGACTTCACGATTGGGAATCAGAATCATGATCTCGTTTCAGAATCGTGTTCGCACAGCTGGTTACTATTCGAACTCTAGCTGATGTACCAATACTATTTAATCACTTTAGATACAGGCATACTGCTAATTCCTCAGCATCAGAAAGGAGGCGGTTTCCTGGTGGATGCTCTGATTTCGATTAACGTCCGAGGATTCGTGCATATAGCCTCCCTTTTGGCACCTGGAATTCTCATGCCAACGCTGTGATATTTGGTTTTTTCAAGTTGAAAAAACCTCCCACAAGCAGCTTGGATCTGCACCTCGACATCTGAATAAGCGCTAGACATTCTGAGCAGTAATAGTGGTGGGTGAATCAGCTTCACAAGTAGTTTGTCAAGAAAATGTTCCATTGAGCTGATATATTCCGTTGAGCCGGTAGGCACACCATAGGTGTGCCGCAAGATTCGGAAATTTACACCATTACACAATCTTGACAGGAACCTTGGCACGATTAGAGGCCTCCGAGTTGGGTATCACGATCGTCGGAAGCATAGAAGAAAGTATTGCGTATTGTGGAGCGGTCCGCTGGCATGTTTGATTGATTGTCCCGGCACGTTAGTGGTGTCATTTTTCTAACCAGGAATGGGGAAGAAAGGAGGACAGGATCAAAGAGAAAAAGTAAGCACAAACACCTGAACCCTCCCTTGACTTACCTAAAACTTAGACGTGGTGACAAAGCAAAACATGAGCTGCTCAGCCCCTTGTGAGAGATAAAACAAAAAGTTTTGGTACCAAACATTACCACAGGAGGCAACTGTAACGACATACCAAGTGGTTCGATTATTTGAGTTTCTACAATATAAATTTATTCAAGTACTGTAGATAGGCAAGCTACTAAGGTGGTTTTGTGGTGTAGTCGTTGCTGATCATGGCAACGGAGGCCTGCGGCTCAAGGTATTGATCATGGTCCTTACTACCTACCGTTTGTATGATAGCAGCACACTCGCGCCTCAAAGACTCCGAGATGCAGTAATTATCTTCGCAATTAAGTTGCGAAAGTCACGATAAGTTTACCTCGGTATGATATCGATACTCGAGTAGAACAACCAACATTACAAACATTTACGCCAAGACATTCCTCCCAATGATAACTTAATAATCGCCAAGTTACGCTAGCGAGTATGACAATCCCCTTCACAGCATCACCCTAACTTACCACGCCTGGACTGCGATTATTTTTATCACCCAAACACTACCGCCCCCGGACCTTGTAGAGATCGACTCCGCAATCGCATGAATAACACAGTAACAAGTCCAGACCAACTCCATGCAACTCGAGCACTCGTGCCCATCCTTCATGCACCCCATCGATTACGCTACTCTTCCCGTACACTTCACTCCCCCCCACCTCTACTCGAGTATAGAGCAGCGCGCCCGTGCACTCACTCAAGAAACCACTGCAGGGATTACATTAACAGCTACTCCTCCATTTCACCCATACCAGTAACACACACCTTCCAGATCCCACCCGAGAATCGTTTCGTTCCCGATTCCAACCACTTGAGCTGTTTGAGCTATTGGTTGTTTGGCTTACGCCCACACATTTTCTGGGGTGAGTTAAGTTGAGTCGAACCTATCCCTTACCCACTCGTTGCCACGCCACGCCACGCCATGCGTGGTCAAAGCGAGAGAGGGGGAGAGGAGGAGAGGGAGAGGGAGAGGGGGTTTATACTGTGTGCAATCATGCGCCATCACTCTGCCACGTGATTGTTTTGAAAGTTTTGAATTGGACAGGCTACTAAAGGTGGGGCACGGGATTTACGGTGCATACGGGGTAAATTGCTCGGGTGGTATCTTAATTTAATTTCGCGCAAGTTGTGTTCCTACCCGCCCAGCTAGTTTGGATGGATGGAGATTCTACAGCCGGGTGTGCAATTGCGAGTATTGTGAACAATGGATGGAAAATGAACAAGGCCGTGCAGTGTAGTTGAATGAAAAGAGAGAAGGAAAAGAGGAAAGGAGCAAAAAATCAGGTGCTAAAAATATCATGGAAAACGAAGCGATCCCTTCCTCCCTTCCCTTCATGCCAGAAATTAGTCAAACCTCGGCGGCATATGCAAATATACCCCTACAGTCCCCCTCTTCCTGTCCGCCCAGCCAACGTCCTCGATGGACTTTTGTGTTCCCCACATGTATGTCAACCCGGGCAAGAATCCCTCCCTGACTCTCTTCATTTCTTGCACGCGACAGCCCTCGCGACCGCCGATCCGCTCGATGAATGCCCCGACGCTGATTGTCGGGGGAACGGTGTAGCTCCTGGCGCTCGAGGGAACAGTTTCATTCTTCCACACCTTGATTTGGACGAGGGGTTTGATGGTTGGTTGGGCGACGGGCTTGCGCGCTTGAACTAATGTCCAGTCACTCACAGCTGTTGATCCGGGGTTATTGTTGGTGTTGTTGTTGCTATTATTGTTGGCGGTGACAGGGTGGGCGTTGAGATTGTGTTGTTGGGTTTGGTGATTGGATTGCTGGGGAGAAAGACCGCTTGCAACGACGGCCGACCAGGGACTTCCGCCGGTAATGAAGGATCTGGCGGAGCGCATGACGTGCGTGTTCTGGGGTGTATGCGTGTGGTTGTCGTCTCGCTTTTCTATGGGACGAGAACAAGAGGAAGAAGGACTCTCAGATCCCAAGCGCACGCCGCTCTCATCGTCGCCCCCGAAAAAGCTGTAACTAGATCCCGAGGTCGGTCTCCCAGTGCCAATGACCGATGTCGAAAGCGCGTCGCGATACGATACGTTTCGAATCTCGTTTCCGGACGCAGCGGATGATACCGACCCGGACGAAGAGGAGACCGGCGAAATTGAGGCCGATGATATCGCGGTGGCGCTCCTGCTCCGTGTAGTTGCAGCGGATTCTGTGGCGGAGCTATGACTCTCACTGGTCCGCATTGGGCTCGAAACAGCGGCAATTTCCTGCCTAGGGAGAAGACAGTAGGTCCCACCGGGGACCACCAGATCTTGCCAGAGAACAGAGCTAACGATTGCACCGGTTTCGTCTACCACATTCCAGTGGTTTGGCTGCGGAACGCTCTCGGAGCAGCCGGCTTGAAGTTCGCCGGTTTCAATGCACGAGACGAGAATTCTGTTTGCTGTCGTGCGGAAGTCCTGGTTTCTCCCGTTAGCTTCGGATAACACAATCTAGGAGACGCTTAAAAAGATGGGGGGGGGATAAGGAATCGCTAACATCGAATGTTTGTGCCCTACGGTAGGGAATAGTGTACGGGCGAGTGAGCGGTGAAATGTAGAGTCTCAAAGGAGCCTCTGTTGACATGGTGTCCAATAATTCGTCTGATGGCACTCATTAGCAAAACCTACGAAGACTCAGCCGATCTACT